GTGTGTCAGGCACCTGCCCCCAGCTGCTGGACTATCCCTGCGCTCCACGGTGGTGGTGCGGTTTGTACCGATGTTCGGAGCTTTAAATCGCTCTCGTGTATGTCCCTGCCCCCTGTAACCTTCAGGTCAGACCACCAGGAGTTTGTTACAGGCACGGTGGGTGACCTTGGGCTCTTGTACCCCCCAGGAAAACAGCAAGGTAGTCTGTTGCTATGTAGGGATGGTTCCCGCTCGTGCGTAACCAGGCGTGAAACACAGCTTGTATGAGGTAGTTAAAAACTGTTCCCTACATTCAAAAGTTAGGCTGGTCTTAATTGTGAAAAGTAACGACAGCAGGCATTGGTTTTCGTGTAGTGTATTTTGATCTCTCTGCTGTTTTCTCCCTTTAAGGTTCTATGAGGAACTTCTGTCTCATGGCATCTTGAAACCACTGACTGCACCCATTGAAGGAATGGTAGTGAAAGCAGGCTCCTGCAACTACATGGCACCCCAGGGCATGTCCTCGGTTGTCAAGTATTATTTAAAACAGTCAGGTAATCTTTTTAGATGTCTTTGTAGGAAATGAAAGGTTTTAATGATTGTGGTTTTGATGGTATTCTTGAACTGTCTTTCAAATTTAAATCTCCAATGAGGATGTTCAAGTTCCTTGTTTATGTATGTCTTAAAGTTGTTTAGATGGGTAAACATGTCTGCAAGCTCTGTAAATTTCTAAGTCCTCCAGGTGCTTCACTGACTACAGCTGCCCTGTTGGCTTAGAAAAACCTCTATACAAATATGTTGCCTGGAGGATCAGGGGCCAAACTTATATTTACACTCTTTGCTTTAGCATATGGGAGTCAGACCTAATACAATTAGGACAGAAATGACAGTGGGAGTGAGGTCATGGTTGAGAAGAGATGCGAGTTGCACTTGAATAGGTGTTTTATCTGTTTTTTGTGCAGTTTAACTGAGCAATTGGGAGCATAGTGTTCAGCTGCATTCTGTGGTTCGTAGAAAAGAGTGCCTATGCAGTATGGGAACCTACTGTGTTCAAAGCGCTTTAGAAAAGACTGAAGGAGAAGGTCGTCGGAGAGTTTAGCTGCATTAGCTGTAATGTGACAGAACCATCTGTGAAGTTTAGCGACTAATTTAACTCTGGTTTGAAAAATGTTATCTTTACGAGCAGTCAAGCTTCACTCCTTTAATGTGATTGTCTTTATCTTTTCTTAATTAGCTGGGTGGTTTGGTTTTGTGTTTTTTTTTTTTTTTTTAAGACCATAATCTTGAAAATAATTAACTACATTCCTGTCTTCTGATATATGGGAGATGTTGAGGGGCAACACTTTTTCAGCTCTTGAGGGTGTGCTTTGATTTCTTACCCTGTACTACCTCCTGTGCTCGTTGGATTTCGCTCTGAATTGGTTCAGCTCACTAAAGACACAGTAAACTGACCCAAAGAAGAGAGCAATTGGAAGTTTTCCATCCGTTTACTGAGTTGAATCATGTTAGAGAGGAGTCAGATGAATATCAGCCCTAGCACAGGGGAATGACGGGATCATTTTGGCTGATGAGGATCCCCTGTTTTAATCTCATATGCTAGCTGTTAAATTGATTCAACCTAATTTGTGAAACGTTGCCCCAAGATGGTCCGTGTGCTTTGATGTTTGCACATCACCCACTTACCAAGGGAAACTGCTCTGCACTTTCTCTGTGGAATTCACTGTTAGGTGTACTTAACTGCTTTTTTCACGCAGGTGCAGATGTCATCTATGAGCAGCACGTAACTCAGATCTCTCTCCGAGATGGGAAATGGGAAGTCTCCAGGAAAACTGGACCGCCAGAACTGTTTGATGTAGTTATTCTCACAATGCCTGTTGCACAAATTCTTCAGCTGAAAGGTGACATTGTAAACAGTAAGTGCATGTATCAAAATTGCAGGGATCTAGCCTACAGTGATGACTGAGTGTTTTGTATAGCAAAGAAACACTCAAAAGTCTGAGGTGTCTGTTAATTTCTGCCAAAACAGGGTGAATCTGAAAATGATGGGAGGTGGGCAATTTTGAGGCCATACGCGTGGAGCATGAGCAGTAATGCCTTGATAGCAAAGCTGACTGAGCTGTGGCAAAAATCCCTAGGGATTTTAGGCTCCCCAGTGAGTCTAAAGTCATATGAAATGCAGGGGAGGAAAAAGTCCAGATCAGAACTCACTGGTCTCCAGGTTTTAAGATGAAAGCCTCTCAGACCCTCCAGCTTGTGTGCTGTTTCTGGCTGCCCCCTGGGGGTTATATTCCTCAAACATGAGTAAATCTCAATTTTCTTTTGGTGATGTATTGGGGTGAATGTGTTAACAGTGCTGTGGAGGCTTAGCAGGAGCAGTTTAGTGCTGAGAAAGAGGCGCAAGTTCAGGTCTGGACAAGTTTACTAGTTTAGGTGCATTGTCTCAGGTGTGAGGCCAGCTTTTCCCTGAAGTCAGGCTGATGAATCCTGCTCACCTGTGCTGGCTCTGTGCACAGTCAGCGTCTATCCACAGTGGGCTCCCAGCAGCATTGTTTCTGGCTGGTTAGCTGAGGTGCTGCCGAGCCCGTGAGCAGATTTAGTGTATTTGCCATGAGACTTGATCCTTGAGGAACAGCCACCATGAGGATTTACAGGGTAGGGATCTTGATGCAGCCCTACAGGAGATGCTCTGAGGGCTGATGCTGAGCAGAAACCTGGAAGCCCAGCCAGGCCTGTGCTGACCCCGGCAGAGCCTTTCGAAGTGTGCTGGGTGGTGGATTTATCACCTTGGCTGCGGTGTTGTACTGCAGACATGCTGCATCTCTTTGAGCAGCATCTCTTTTAACCTCTCTTTGAGCTCTGCATGCTCACAGCAGCACAGGGGCGTGCATGTGTTCCAGTCAGTTCACGTCGGACAGGGCATGTTGCTTCTCTGCTGCCAGCTCCTGAAGTTAAAAATTTGTGGGTTTTCTGCTCTCTGGTTTGTAGAAAAAACACCGTTGCTTGAAAGAGGAAGCCTGTAATGCTTGGCTCCGTGTGCTTTGCTGTATCTTGGATTTTAATGTGTTTAAACATGGGAGTGTGATTTGGAAGCTGTCTGTTACAAGATGTCCGAGCAATAGACGGAGGTGGTTACAAGTGAGCTGCCAGGGTCGCTCTGACGGATAGATGGCGATGGGACGTTGAACTGCAGCACAGTGTTGTACAGCAGCAAAGGGAAAACTGACGTCTGATAACAGAAAAGGAGAGAAGTATTTTCATTACAATCTCTTATTTTAAGCTTTGTGCCTAAAAATATCCTGTAAGGACAGGACTTCTTTGCTATTCGTCGTTTTATAAGCTGTTTCATTTCCCCTGTCCTTTACCATGGAAAGTAATGGTATCCCCACTGAATTTTCTTGCTTAGTGAGCGTGTTCTTTCATTTCATACTCGGAATCATCTGAGCAGGGTAAATGTATAGACATCCTTTTCAGAATTATGTTTTCCTTTCAATAGCCACATGTTCTGTAACATAAAGATACAATAGACCAGTGTTCAAAACATTGACTGGTCACTGGCTGAAGCATGACATTGCAAGCATTAGAAAGTAAGAGGAGGGTGATGTATAACAGCTGTGGTGGGTTGGGCCATTCCCGTGTCTGCAAGGAGAGACATCTCAATTTTACTTTTTTGGTTAGGCTTATTATGGCAGCGTAACATGGAATATTGCTCGGAGATGTTTGCAGTTGTGGCTGACTCTCAAGCTACTTCAGTTTAGTTAGCTCAGCTCACAGCAGGTGGGAAACCTCCACAGCCCAAACTGTCCAAGGATGTGTGGCTTAGGTGTAACTAAGGTGGCTTGTCTGACTGCTCAGTGGTGCCATTACTGGGGTAAATGACTGTGGGGCTGGGTCTGCTCCATCCTGTCCCATTGATAGTGAATGTCCTGGGAACAGAAGAAAAGCAGAGGTAGCGTGTAGTACTGCTTTCTCAGAGTCTTTCCAAGGTTCCTGTAGTCTGCATCTCAAGCCTTCCTCAGTCAGAGTTGATGTCTTTGCAGATCGTTTTTCTTGGGATGATCAAATCCTTTCATGTTGAAGAAGTGCACAAGTCGCCTTTAGAACATGTAGTTGAGGTGAACAGTTCATTTAACTTGTTCTTGGAGTGCTGGAACTGTCAGGATGCAGGTTACAACTCCCTTTTCTTAATCTTCCATATAACTGCAGGAGTAACTCTTATTTGAGGGAGCCCAGCAAGTTTTGTCTTCTTCTCCCCTTCTCTCCACTTCTCTTACTCTCTCTGCCTGTACCCTGTGTAAGAATGGCTTCCAGATTTTCAACTCGTTATTGATCTTTCATCTCAGGCAACAGGGCTGACTCCCCATACCCTGGAATTCTTTAGCATTGGAGCTAATTGGAATTGGAGCATTGGAATTGGAGCATTGGAATTCTTTACAACTGCTTCTTTAGGCTAAGAAGCGAGGGGGAAATAGGTGAGGAGAATGTAACGAGGGTGTTTCCGAGCCTGAACAGGGTGTAGATTTCAGAGCCTTTTTGACTTAGTCAGGGTACATGCCTGTATCTCTAAATCTCAACCTTATATTGATTGCATATCAGAGAGCTGAGTTTGGCTGACAGAGAACAGTGTTTTCCTGGATCCACCTTTCTTGGGATGTAAGATGCAATTTCATGCTAAGCCTCGTTAACTGTGGGCAGCTGCTGAAAGGAACAGTCATCTTCTCCCCTCCACACTACCACTGCCCTGCTTTTGCCTCCTCTGTCAGCACTGGGTACCATGCTGGGAGTCAGATCTGCTCTCTGTTTCGACCCAAAACTGACTGATGGTGCAAATGAAAATGTTAGTTACCTGATTTCACCTGCTGGGCAACTGCCTGGTGTTAGCCTGCACATAGGTCTGAGGCTGCTTCCTTACCCATAAAGCAGTTCTGTATGCTCTGGTCTTCCAAATCCAGAGACAAAATTTGGTGAATGTAATGGAAAACCCAATTGTGTATACAAACCAGCAGCTCTAGCTGCTCCTGGAAGGGGAGGTGCCTGCTCCTTGTTGCAGACTGTCATTCTTGGGGGAATCATTTTGCTGCTGCGCTAGTTGCAATGAGGGATGTGCAGAGTTGGAGGAAGGGGAGGGCTTTCTCCTTCTAGCAACTGCAGCCTGTGTGGCCAGCTCAAAGGTCACGTGTGACTACTCCGAGACTGCAGGCAAGAGGCTTAAAGTGAAAGGGGTCAGGATTTAGGAGTACAGCTACCTTAACTGATGGTCTTTCAGGCCTTTATTATGTAGGAGGCAGACACTGAAGCTAATGAAAGACATGGCTTGGTGCCTTATGGTAATACTAATCCCAGTCAGTGTTGATATTTGATGAGCAGCGTCAGTGGAGCGAGCCCCAACAGCCCTGGTTGTGACTGTAACTAGACTTGACTGCAAGCCCTCATTTCCTTGTGTATCATCCCTACTTTGCCAGCTTCTTAATTGGAGTCAGCTCATTTAAGTCTTCCATATCCTCCCATTATTCTCCTCCACTTTTCCTATCTGAGGTTGTTCTCAGGCCTTTTCACGTCAGTTTTGCTGTGCACGGGAGATTGAACTGCTAGCTGTGGACTTGTGCCAGGTTCTGGTTTAGTCGCTGAAGTATAATTGGATCTATCAGTTCAAAGCCAAATGAAGTTGTAAATGGGTTTTGAGGGACTGTTAGCATTTATGTATGGATAAAGGCTTTAAAATAAGTGAAGGTGCAAAGGAACAGCTGATTGGAGTAGGTGATGCTTTGATCCTTCAGTAAGCATTGGAATTAGCCTTTGATGTTTGCGCATTAAAAAAACCCTGAGTTTGAACTCTCCAACGACTAGCCAGAAGTGGTAATTCACCCCTTGCAGGCATTCACAGTTTTCCTGTTTGAGCCTTGAGACTGACTCTGTCACATCAGTACTTACCTCTTGCTTGAGAATATTTAACTGTCTGAATATTGTATTCTTAAGCAGGGGTCCCATAAACGATTGCCATAAAGATGCAGTTTGTTTTGTTAATAACAAAACGGTCTGGACACGTACACCCTTGTTGTCAGCGATGACTCCTGAAATGTAGGCTCCTGTATCTGTAGTTAAGTGCTTCAACAAAAGCACCCTGGTTGTGTGTTGTGGGTTCCTCTTCATGCCAGAAGTGGGGTGTGTGGCTACATGGACGGCGTAATGTCCAGCACCTGGCAATTGAGTTGCCTTAATGTAGATGCCTTTGGGTCCAGTGGCTCTTTGATTTGCAAATGTTAATTTGTATCTTTATTTTGATGTCTTTAGGACATCTTTATTTAGACACCTTTAATATCCTGTTGCAGAAGGCAAATGAGATGAGGCTTATCAGTTTGAAACAGACCAAAATTGTTACCTTCAGTGAGCTGACTTCCTAGTTCTTGGGTTTGTGTTCTGGCTTTAAGAATGAAGACGACTGACAGGGGAAACTGCAGCCTACGTGAGAGAGGTCTTCTTTCACCTTCCAAGTTTTTTGAAAAAAAAAAAATTTTTTTTTTACTTATGTTTAGAGAATTAAGATCTTGAAAAATGACCCTCCCAAATTCTATGTTCAGTGGCACAGTTTACATTTTAATACTTTAATCTCTGCAGACTAAACCTTTTGTTAAGCTGATTTATTAGTTTGTATCTTTTTTCCTGTTCTTTAACCTTTGAGCTGAGCCTGAACCATTAGGTCATTGTGAATACATTTGTGTATACATTTGGGAAGCGACAGGATTAAGTGGCCTTTGGCAATTCAGAATTTTCATTTTAAATGGACTGTGTGAGAAGCAACTGTTCAAGAATTACTACTTATGTGTGTAAAGCCAAAATTTAGATTAATGGATCATTTAGTGTGTATACACACTTTTTTATATGTATGTATATATAGACACACACATCTGCACTTATA